CCAACAGGATATGAGAGCACAACTGGTCCATCTCCAGGCTTCTGAAATACACTCTTCAGCAAATTCCTTTAGTCACTTCAAAGGAAGGGACAAAAAAACTTGCCCTGCTGCTGTTGGGACCTCAGACCCAAAGGCAGGGCTCCTTGTTTCCTCTGCAGAAGGGATCCAGCCTCCCCAAGGAGGGGAGAGCTCCCCACTCCTGTCCACTGCTCCCTGCTTGTTCCCAACACCTTTACCCTGGAATGCTTTAAAGCCTTATCACACTCTGGGAGCCCAGTCTCCTACTGACCCTGCTGTCCCCTCTCCTACCCTCTTCCATTCCATTCCTCTCCCTGCCATGATATAACACTCAATTTAAGCCTCTCCTAGGGCTTTTAAACTCTCCTGGATTATCTCCGGCTGACATAAGTGAGAATAATTCTCTGTTATCCTCCTGTTTCCTTTTCCATGCCAGGCAGTCCAGAGGCATGGAAAAAAAGCCTGCACTCCCAACACTTTCAGGCTGCTCCCCTGCACTCTCCAGCTCACCAGCTTCCAGCTGAAACCAGTCCAGCTCCTCTAAATCACAAGATATTTATAAAGCTCTCCTCCTTGTCATGTTTCTGGGGATCCCAAAGTCAATTAAAATAGCTCAAAACCATGAAACAGACAGTAAAGGCAAAGAAGCCAAAATATCTGAGGCTCTGTAAACAGAGAACTCCTGTGAAATAATCCTTTTCCAGTGTCTGGAAGGGCAAGACAGATATAGAATCATAAAATCATTAAGGTTGAAAAGACCTCCAGGATCACCAAGGCCAATATGGGCTTAAATCACATCATTGGGACTCTGGACTGGGGGACATTGATGGGGTCCATGGCCATGTGTGGGTACCAAAAAGACCAACCATCCACCTCTCCTCCACCTTTCAAACCTGTTTTGTTCCTCCAGGCTGTGAGGTCCTTGGTGTCCCCAGTGACACTGGGCACAGGCATCCACCTGAAGATTGGATACATCCTGCATCTGCTGAGCAGGACAACTCCAAGCCCCCCAAATCCCAGTGCCAGTCAACACAACCCTAGGAGCTCTAGCTGTCCTTCCTCATCATAGAAATCATGCAATGATTTGGGTTGGAAGGGACCTTAAAGACCATCCAGTGCCACCCCCTGCCGTGGGCAGGGACACCTCCCACTAGCCCAGGTTGCTCCAAGTCCCGTCCAACCTGGCCTTGGACACTTCCAGGGATGGGGCAGCCACAGCTTCTCTGGGCAACCTGTGCCAGGACCTCACCACCCTGGGAAGAATTTCTCCCTAATATCAATTCTAAGTGTCTCATCATCACACGTCACCACCACTGGGGGGTTACCAGGATACTCCATGTTTCTCACCGGGGACAGCGCTCGGCAGCCACCTCCCAGCCCCAAAAACTGAAGGCCTTTTCCCTTCTGCTGTGTCTCTCCGTGTGAATCAAGGCAAACAACTTCCCGAGGGCTTGAAGCAGCCCTGCCCCCTCGGAGTGGGCACTCAAACTGAAAGCACAACCTCTGGGCTCATTCCAGGTGCGATACGGCACCGACGGCAAACACGCTGCCAGCTGAGCCGGGCGGGGCCCGGGAATATCAGCACTGACCGAGCCCGAGTGGTGTCACTGCCAGTCATTAAGTACCACGTGTGACTGAGAGTAACTTTCAGCAACAACAGGGAACTGTCACCAGCCAGGTTCCCGCAGGGAACAGAGATCAGCTGTAACCGCACGGATCTGAGCCAGGGCCACATCCACAGGGCACTGCCTCCCAGAGTGCTGCTGCGCTGCTCCTGCATCCTGAGCAGCGAGTCCATGACTGCCACCCCCATCCCACTCTTCAAACTCCCACAGAACCCCTCAAACCACCCCTGTCCACCATGACCTTTCCCTCCCTGATGCCCATCCCTGGCACCACTGTGCTCCCAATGCCTCCAAATATCGGTGGCAACGGGTCTGGTGCTGGAAAACACCCCGAGAGCGATGGGAACTGGTGCAGGGGGCTGGTGGTCCCCTCAGAGGGAACATGGAGGGACGAGGTGGTTTGCACAGAACAATAATTGGTTATTTTGGCCCAAGCCCTGCAAAAGGCACCCTGAAAGTGGTCCTGACAAGTGGCTTTAGGGATTAAATATGAGCTTCATACTTAAGACTTCCAAGTCTAAGCCACAGCCTCCCAAGCCTGCCTAAAGTAGGGAACTCTGTTGTGTTGGAAATACTGTCCCTACCAGAAACTGCCATCACTTATATGAGGATGTTGTGTCTGACTAATTTAAACACCTTTACAGCACCTGGATCTGGGCAGGGGGTGATGCCAGCAGCTTCCCACAAAATCTGGGGCTGGATGAAGCCTTTTTATAATCCACCATTCCCAGCTTCTTGTACAAACAAGAGCTACAAAACCCTTCAAACCCAGCTGCTGACCATGTTGTACCTGCTGACAACCGTTCACTCCAAAAGTTCCCAAACCTGGAAATTCCACTTGGACACTTTGCTTTCCTACTCTGTCTTGAGGGCTGGGAGGACTGATAGTGCACGCAGGCTCTGCTTTCCTACCCAGAAGCCGTTCTTTTCTTAATATATATATATGTTTTTAACACAAATGTCACAGCACGGGAAGAGTGGGCAGGATGGGGGATGTTGCTGCCTGTCAATTTATGTACATTTGCTCTTAAAGCAAGAATTTTTCTCTGAGGGATGGGTGTCCTGACTCCCCACCGTCCCAGAGGGTGCACATCATCCACCTGATGCCAACAAACATGTTTGGGTAGAGCTCAAATTGTTCCTTCACACGCTTGCACAGCGCCAGTGCTGCGCTGTTGACTCTTGAAACAAAAAGCACTTTTTAACACAGAAATTTTAAAAGGAAAGAAAAAAAGTTACTAGAGTTTTAAAATCATTTTTAAAACTTTTTTTTCAGGTGCTGGTTTTCCCTCAGTGCAGCTGGACTTGCAGCCACCAGGGCAGGTGGGAGTGGGGGTCCCTGCCGGTGTCTCCAGTTTGTGGGTTCACTCTGCACACGTTCCCCACATGGGCCACCACCTCTCCCTCTGAAATCACCTCTGAGGACCCCCAGACTGGCTCAGTGCTGGGTGTTCCAGGCTCCTGGCTTAATTTTGGAAGGAAGACACTGGAGCTGGAGTTGGTGGGCACAGGCAGCCAGGCACATCCTGGCACTGTCAGAGCTCCTGCCACCAGCAAAGTGACACCCCCAAGTCATCTGCCCTCGCCCAAACTCCCCTGGAAGGTCCCAGACACGGCCCTAACCAAGTGCCCTGGGGCGTGTGGGGTGCTGAGCACCCAGCCCAGCTCCTGAGGCACTCACAGCCCTGCAGCTGCCCATGGGATGCACAAATGGGTTAACAAGTATTTGTTGGGGCTTTTTATTTTTAATGCTGAAGTGTGACATCCTGAAAAAGGGCTTGGCAATGTTTTCTCAGCTCCAGGCTATTTTTGCTTGCTGCCAGTTGAAGGGAGCTGTGCCTGTTTGCAGGAAAGGGCATGAACTGCAAGAAGGGCTCTGGTTTTGGGTGGCTTTACTCACCCAGAGTCATGGTCATTACTGCAGCAGCCTGGAGGGGGTTAAGGCCACCTTTTGCACCTCCAGCAGAGGAGGGAGCAGGTCACCAGTCCCCTCCAGAGGCACATCAGTGTAGCCAGAGGCAGCCCTAAATCACCCAGGGTGACCTCCAGCTCTTCCTCCTGGTGCCCTAAGCCAAAAAGTGCCATCAAGTCACCTGCTGGAACAGCCCAGCCTGGGCAGTGGGGACCTTCAGGGATGTAGGAGTCAAAGACATCGTCTGGGATGATGCCTCCAGCCCAGGCATCTCCCAGAAGGAGCCAGTTGGGTACCCTACAACATCCCCACAGAACTTTGGGGGCTACAGCACAGCCCAGGGAGGAGTGGGTAGCACTGTCCTCCATGGAAGGTGAGGGAAGATGGATGGCAAACAAACCCCAAACCTATCCCAGCTGTGATGCCCTACCCATGGCCACACATCCTGAGAACATGCTTGGCTGTAAAGCTCTGACAAACCCTTCCCTGAATCACACACAGGCTCAGATCCAGTAACACTGGTGGGAAATCACACCCCAGCCCTGGGCACCACCGGCAGCACCGGTACAAGGGGGTCCTGCCCTCTGGCTGCTTCTCATATGTCCCCAAAGCTGCTTCGCCCACGGGCAGCTGCCATTCCCCAAAACTGCACCCGGCTGCTCCGGATGCTGAGGTGTGGAGGTGCTGCCAAGTAAGGCACGAAAATCAACCCCCCCAGGGGAATCCTGGCCAACGCAGGGGGATGCCCCGGGGACAGGGACCAGCACGTGCAGCAGCCTCGGTGCACATCCAGAAACGGGCCGAAAAGTGGGGGGGAAAAAAGACGGGGTGATGGGTGGTGCAAAATCAGGATGGTTGGCAGGGTGTAAAACGTGACACGTGGCCGGGATGACCCGCGTTATCTCACGCAGGCAGTGAGCTCAAGAGCCTGGAGCTCAGGCAGGGACCGGCTTCAAGATGACAGCAGGTGAGTAACCGGGCAGCCAACGCCAGAAAACCCACTTCAACCCGCCAAGCCTTTGCTTCTGTCACTCAAAATGCTCTGCTCAACCAAGTTTTTAGAGCAAGCCCATGTTATTCTAGGGCAGTGTTTTCTTTTCACACCAGGATGTGGTTAATCATTCCCTAAGCAGCAGCACACCGTGTACCGGACGCTGTGGGGAAGCTCACAGAGAGCTGCCCGTGGGGTGCAACACCCATGTGCAGTGCCGGGTACCACTGTGAACCCCACCAAGCCCCCCAGCCCTTCCCACGCACCGAGCAGGACGAGGTTGCCCCGGACCGCCCCAGGAACTGATATTCAAATTCTGCATCATCAAACAGCCTTCGTTTTACCGGCGGTGCGAACGCGGGGCGCGGGGACGCGTGGGATGGGCTGGGGTCACCACCCGCACAAGCATCTCCTCCCTCCCCGCGGCGCATCCCTGCCAGGTTCCCATCCTTACTTTGATGTTGCAGAAGATACTCCGGGAGCAGGTGCTGGAGCTTTTGGGGATGTCAGCTGGGGGTTTGCCAGCTTCGGGGTGGACTCCCATCGTGACGGCTTCCCGGGGAGCCCCCAATAGTTGGGCTGAGCTTGGGCTCCCGTCCCTGTCCGGCCTGTCCCGCTGCCCGCACGGTCTGTGCCGAAAACCCTCCGAGGCTGTGAGTGAGCCAGGCAGCGTGAGCGCCAAGTTTTTATAAGTCGGCTCCGGGGAGCGATGATGAAACGCTTTCTCTTTCTCCTCCCTCTTTTGCTTTGTGCACCGAGGGAACTTTAAAGCCGCAGGAAGCGAAGGGCAGAGCGCAGGAAGCAGGTGGGAGCGAGGGCTCGGCGACCCCCGCGCGGTTGGGGCTGTGGGACGGTGTTTGCCCACTCGTGGGGGCACCCAGAGCCCTGACCCACCGCTGTGCTCACGGCCCGGGCTGCGGGACTGGGCTGGACAAGGAAACGGCACTGGCAATAAAGCCTTCCCGCAGGGAAAGCCACTGGGATTTTAGTTAAACCCCCTCCCCCGAAGGGGCGAGAGGAAGGGGAGGCACCTTTCATCAACTGAGATTTGGCGCCCAGGTGGTGGGAGGGGGAAATTGGGTGGCCGGACGGAGAAATCCCTCCCTGGGTTAAGGGGTTGTGGTGGAAAAAAGAAACTTCTCCTGTTTTTTTCTTTCATGAAAAAAAGCTCCATTTGTGAAGCTCTTGAGCACCTTTTTTTTTTTTTTTTTTTTTTTTTTTTTTTTCTTTTACCAACACCTCTCCGGAGCTTTGTTTAAGCAAAGTACTGATTTATTTTGCAGGCTCCTCTCAGGGGGGAAACGCGTCAGAGGCTGAAGGGCAAGTTGATTCTGCCCGAAGGGAGGCAGCTGCCAGTGTTTAGTCAAAATTATTGCCTTCCCCTCCATAAAGCAGGTGGGGAGAGCAGGGGGACCCCGTGGGAAGCCTCGGAGCCCACCTGGGTGTGTCCTGAGCCTGGAGAAATCCATCCCAGCCCCCTGAATGGTTTTTCCCCACAGGAAGGCTGGTGGGTCCCTGTGTATGATGCCGAGGGGCCGAGCCCCTCTCAGTGGACACCCCCCGACCCCAGTCCCGCCCGGGCTCCTCCGTGGGCGCTCACCACGAGAGGGTGCCTTATACCCATGGAGAGGGTGCCTTGTACCCATGGAGAGGGTGCCTTATACCCATGGAGAGGCTCCCCGGGCACCACTGTCCTCCTGCCTTGCCCAAACCCTCCCAAGACAGGACCCCCGGGGTCTGACCAGGCCCAGGGCAGTGGGAAAATCAGCACTGCTAAGATAAAAAGAGCTACTTTTGTCTGTCAGCTTCCCAATTTCCTAAGCCTGTCCTTGGACAGGTGGGTGTCATCAGCCCTGGGGTGGCAATAGAAGCATCCTGGATTTCCATCTCTCCTTTTCCACTCCAATCCCCAAATTTGCCACATCTGGGGTGAGGACGTGATGTGAAGAGACCCTCTTCCCCTATCAAAGTTAGCCAAGGCCTTTTATGCACCATTCTATGTCAAGAGATGGAGACTTTCAGCCTCACCAAAGAAAAGCTCAAGCAAACCAACATCTCTACTCCTCTCCCACCCTCCCCATGAGCCCAGCGTTCCACTGACCTAATTTTTCGGGCAGTGCCTGACCTGCTCACTGCTGTTGCTGTGCTCAGTTTATTCTGCAGCAGCCCATGACGCTCACTTTGTTATAACAAACACCTCCATGCTGCAGATGTTTCGTCTGCTGACTTCAGCTTTTCCCTACAAATATGTCTCCATCCAGCAAAACATAGCAGGGAAGATGCCTGACCAGTCTGTGGGAAGGAACACCCCTGCCCTGTTGCCCCATGACCAAGGGGTTGGATACCTGGTTGTGGTGGGGTCAGTAACCCCTACAAGGGGAAGCAAAAGGCTGTGGTGAGTAAAAAGGGAATCAGCTTCTGGCGAACCCCTCTGTGAGCTGGATGCCATTTCCCCACTGGGATCATTTAGGTCAGAAAAGTCCTGTAAGAAAATTGAGTCCAACGGGCCCCCAGCACTGTCAACCCACCACTAACCCATGTCCCCACATCCCATCCACACAGCTTCTAAATCCCACCAGGGATGAGGACTCCACTGCCCTGGGCACACTGTTTCAATGCCTGACCACCCTTTCAGTGAAGACATTTTCCCAAATATCCCATCTAAACCTGCCCTGGCACAGCCTGAGGCTGTTCCCTCTTCTCCTGTCCCTTGTGCCCTGGGAGCAGAGCCTGCCCCCCCCCGGCTCCCCCCTCCTGTCAGGGGGTTGCAGAGCCAGAAGGTCCCCCCTGAGCCTCCTTTTCTCTAGGCTGACCCCCCCAGCTGCTTCTCATCAGACTTGTGCTCTAAGAATTCCTTGGGCAGCGATTTTTAAGGTACAAGGAACAGGATTGTATTTGATGAGTTCAGTTAGAACAAGGAGCAGAACAACAGCGTCCAGTCTGCGGGTCCATGAACCAAACTGGGGGGCCACTGGCACGACTGGAAAGAGAAGTCATTCCCAAGCAGGGAGCACTGCCCAAGCCTTGGCAGCTCAAATAGCTGTAGTAACTAACACAATAAAAGCTGACAAATCTGAATTTAAAAGTCCAGTCATCTCTGACCATCAGAGAGCACTACTAACATCTCCCCAGGTTTTATCCCACTGGAAGAGAAACTCCAGCCCTTGGACACAAGTTCATCTCCAGCTTTCTTACACTGACATTCCTTCTAAATTGTGGGCTTCAGACTGTGCAACAAAATGAGCTGCAGGTGAGAAAATGGGGGACTCTTGCCTCTTTTTGAGGATTCTCTGCTGCATTTTCCTTCCCACAGGGTTACAGCCTTGGCAAGGAACTGCTCATCCTGCAGAGGAGTGCACAGGAGGAAAGTGATTTACAGTGGTGCTGACAAGGGGAGGAGAGCTGGGTTTCAGACTCTTCTCATCATGCTCTGTCAGGGCAATACGGTTCACGTTGAGTGACTGGCAGGGAAGATCCCACATCAGCAGGGTTTGGTTCATTCTACAGGGCTCCTGGGGCTGTGCTTCTGCCTCAGCCTTTGAAATGAGTTGAAATGAGTTCCTCCTACAGTGGCCACACTGCCCTGGCCAACTCATTGGCTGGAAGGAGAACACCTTGTGCTGCTGAGTGGGAACAGCTACTTCAGCCAAGCTCTCCACGTGCCCCACCAGCTCATCCTCTAACCCAGCCTTTTCCCTCACCCAAAACAAGCCACCAGTTGAACCTGCCCACCAGGCATGTTTTCAGTGGGCTTTCACTGGTGCAGCTGTGCAGGATTCAACTTTGGGATGCTCACCTTGTTCACAGAATATCAGAACTCTCTAAAGCCACTTCCCTTCTGCTGGGGAGGAGATTGGGTCAAACTCTTTCAACATGACAGCGAGGAAAGAGAAGACTCTTCCTCCGCATCATTGTCCTCACTTCTTTCTGCCAAGCAGCGATGCTTTCCTGGGTTGAGGGCTCACTCTGCTTCACCACCTGGATTCAATCTGGCAGAAACTGAAACACCTCAGTTTTTCTCCATGATATCCCTGACCTGTTCTTCTCAGTGACTAGCTGCCCACTGGGCTTTAAAATCATAGAAATCATGGAATGGTTTGGGATGAAAGAGACCTTAAAGCTCATCTTGTTCCATCCCCTGCCATGGGCAGGGACCTTCTACTATCCCAGGTTGCTCCAAGCCCCATCCAAAGTGCTTCTTTCCCAGCAGCCTCCCTGTCAGCATCTGAGGGCTGACATTGAGCTGCTGCTTCAATATTTTACTTCACATGGACCTGCTTGAAGCATCATCCATGGTGTGGAGCCAGACAGCCAGACCCTAGGGAACACTGGAACAAGGAATTAATTTTCCTGTCTTGGAGCTGGAAAAGTGTGAACTGTGTGGTCAAACAGCTGGAGGAACCTGGTTCCTGCTAGGTCAGAAGTTATTTCCCCAGATCCAAAGGTGTGGATTCTCAGCTGCCTTCCAAACTCTTTGGAGGCTTTGTGTGATCCAGCAATAGCAGAGAAGCCTGTATGCACCTCCCAGCTGGGAAATCCTCTGGCCTTGGATAAAACTAGAAGCTGGAGAGGGACTGGACCTCAGGAGCCCCTAGCTCAGCAGAAGGAGAGTGTGATGTGTGATCCAAGCAATTTATGCATTCAGACATAGCAGCAAAGAAGATCCTACGACCATGGGAGGAGATGTGAGGGTGGACAGACACATCATGTGGGAAGACCCAGGGAGGCTCTGCAAGAGAGGAAGGAACAAGAGCAGGATCAGAGCCCTACATAGAGCTCATAAAACCAGCAGCTCTGGAGGTTGTCACCCATCACGAGCCGGGTCTCCTGCTTTGTGGGTGCTGCTGTCACAAGCAGGATCAGGCAGAGAGAAAAAGGTGATTCTTCTATTTACTCAGGAACCTCACACAGCTCAAAACCAAGCTTCCAGGAGCCACGTGACCCCCCATTTCCTTGCTGCACACCAGAACCAGGACAGCACAAGCCTCTGCGGAAGCAAACACGAAGCCCCTGGGCTCCTGGAAGGTTTTGGAGTTGCAAGTACAAACGTTGCTCAGGGAATGCAGATTAAAAACACCAGAGCCATGTTACCAGAGCCAGTCCCTGGGGGTGCAGACCAGCATGTCAAACCCACCCCTGGAACCCCCCTTATTCTCCAGGGCTGGTGGGGTGGCACAGTAGGGAGCAAGGACAGGAGGGGCATCAGCAGTACCTGCCAGAGCCTGTGGTTAGGAATTACAGAGCATGACAGGCTGGGTTTAATTTGCCAGCAAAATGTGTTTGATTTGGAGCAGAAATACTGCTCAGAGGGAAGTACAAAGTCGTACCTGAAGAACAGGCTTGGCTGGCTCAGAGCCTGACCTGCTCCTGGGGATGGAGAGTGAGGGGAACATGGTTCACCAGCACCACAGGGGTGGAGAGGTCCACAGGGGATATTCTTGAGGGACAAACAACAGCTGAGCCCCAGAGTGGGAGGTGACACTGCCTGTCCTCCATCCGAGGCACCACCAGCCCTGCAGCAAAGCCAGAGATTAGGAGTGAGGCCAAGGTGGGCTGGGAGAGCAGGAGCTCATCCTGGAGGTGCTGGCAGAGGTGGGTGTCAGCATTAAACCATCTCTGCCATGGCCAGCTGTGCTG